TATCCTTTAGCAGACGCATGCGTTTTTTACCTTACTTTAGGCATATGATCTACTACTATAGATATACAGAGTGTCTGACGCAAGACACGACAATGCTTATGCGCGTAGATTAGATCAAACTAAGCACAAAACTCCTCTACTATTTTGCAAACTACCGCGTAGAATCTTGAGTTATTAGTCAAAGAAGATCGACAAAAGATGGCACACGATGCGTCACAGGGTGTGACGGTAAGTACGATTACTCTGTCGTGTGCTTGTTTACATTTGGTCAAACTGAGCAAAAAGTCTTTGCCATTTTATAAACACAACCACGTAGATTTTCTAGTTATTAATTCAAGAAGATTGGTAGGTAATATAGTATATCCCCCGCGATTGTTCCCCGAGTTTCTTTGATTGATAACTCAAAAATCTACGTGATTATTTTCAAAATAATTCAGTTCCTTTGTTCCTTTGTTCAGTTTAATGTACACGCATACAAACGTATTTTGGAAATCGTATTTACCGTCGTATATCGTGCAGTTAAAGGCAACACAATCTGTTCAATCTGTAAATCAGTTAACATCTACGTGTACACAAAGACATATCTCTTATATCCATATGTAAAATAAATATCGCGAAACTCTCTCGAGTAAGAACGGTCAAGAATTGCGATGGCGCAAACTATTAGTCGAACTCGGCGAATTCAACGCGCATAATGGCGACACGCACCTTCGAGATCTCGAATTGCGGTCGGCGGCCAGCCGCTTTTCCCGGTTCTCGACGTGCTTGTTACGTCGGCGAGAATTCTGGTGTACCGATCCGGTTGCTCGATCCCGCACCACGGCCGCCGATCAGTTGAACGGATACGACTAGTTCCGAGATGGACGGTGCTAGTCGATACTAATTGCGTCTACCAGCGGGCCATAGTCCGCCGCGCGATACCGGTTTATCGGATTAACAGCGTAACTTCGGACCATTCGGTATTCTAGTCCAAGTAACGTAATTGGCAATTGTAATTGGAAGCGAATCGCCGAAGCGATTATGCGTCGGAGTTCACTCGGGCGGATCGCGTTTATCTTGTAGTTCGTACGTTCAAAAGCACAACACGATCATCGAAACGACGCGTAGAACTTTTTACTTTTATCAAATAAAACATAATTATATGATAATAAAATAAGAGCAGAGGCGACATCTTTTTTAGATTTGAAAACGCGCTTTCTTTGGACGAAAAATCCCAAATCTATCTCTCGTAAGTGAGTCAGCAAAATGACTACTTCAAAGTGATCCACGGGCATTCACGGATTTTCAGATAAACACTCCTACTTTACTAATCCATTCTACATCTCACTGATCTTGATCAGTGGAAGTGAGATTTCACTGCAGAATCTGCAATACAATTATTAGCTAATCCCTTCAGCGAGATTTTACTGATTGCAGTACTATACTGACGAATAAACCATCAGTTATAAATTACATAGTATTTTAGTGAAGAAATACTGATTAGCCGAGTCGAAATTTTAACTCTACTTTTGATCTGAATTTTATAACATTTGTACATTCTAAAGAATCAGTGTATATTTAATACACATGGAAATTGAAGTCTTAGCGCTTCCAAGTGGCAGAAAACGCACAAAATGCTATTTGTTCTATAAAGAGGATCTCTCGATAAAATTAGTAAGTTAAATAGTAGAATCAAAAGATGATGTAAGCTTCAGAGTCTCCAAGTAAACGTTTTATGGAATATTAAGGTTAAATGTAGAATCAAAGTTTCGACTCGACTATAGTTTAGAGAGTATAGTGCACGCAAAACGCAGGTGCGTGTCTCTTTACGATAAAGTGCCGAGTCGAGTTTCGAGTGAAAATTCGTTCCGCATAGACAGACGCCTGGGAGAGACCCTCGGGCGATAATCGTGGGTGGAGACCGGAGGGGACGTTACACACATGCTGACGCATAAGAAAACCACTCGCTTGCAGCGCGGGGGCATAGGAGACTTCGCGTAGCACGGCGCTCTTAGGCTCTCACCGTAGCGAGACAGGATCGACGAGCCTCTCAGGGATGGAGTAGGGAGGAAAGTCCGGTAACTGTCATTCGAAGAACGACCGAGAGGCCGTGAAGATCGTCGAACGATCGGCTCCTTCCTCGGCCGCGCGACTCCGTGGAATTTGCGCAAAGTGACCGCGAAAACAGTGCGCCCCTCGATATATTATAACGGCCGCTATCAAGATCGTCATCGTTGATCGTGTGGCGTGCGAGGTGCCAAAGTGTGCGTACGTGTGTCTATATCTGTGTGTGTGTACGTGCAACGACGAAGAATTGCGCAGGATTCCGATCGCTTAGTGATCCGCCGCGACAGATCGTCGTGGAAGTCGCGAGAGCGAGGCTGAAGGTATCGCGAAAGCATCGCGGATATTTCCCACCGTTTCAAATCGTTCTCATCGGGAGGCATGGGGCCATTTTCCTCCTCGGGCGGGCTTTTTGCTTGATTCGCGCTAACGCGCGCACCGCTAATTTTGCTAAATGGCCGCGCGCACGCGCGCGTCCGAGTTACGCCGAATTTACGAGATCGTATATTTGGTTTGCCGATGTGTCGTCCGAGCGAGACACGTTTTTCGACTCGACGCCGGAAGTATCGGCGGGCCCATTTTGCAATTCGAATTCTGCGATCGCGTCGCCGATTTGTCGATGATTTCACGATGCAATCGGGATCTCCCCTAATAAATCATGTATTTCCCGCCAGCGGAAAATGACGAGACGCATTCCCAGAGGGTATCGAGTCGAAACCGAAGTAATAGCTTTAGCGAGCCATATATATATGTATGTATGATGTATACATATATGTGTCTGCCTGTGTGTATATATACATAATATTTGACAGAAATTATAATATAATAGAATACAAAATGATCGGACAAATGAACTGGAATTGGACATAACGATTCGTTAAACTATTCAAATGAGGCAAGCCAAATAAAACCCGGACGCTTAACTCGGACACGCGATATTTGCGCGAGCCACGTAAACAGCGCAATGTACGTTCTTGCAATAATATATGACCCAAACGCACGAGGCAATAATGAAATAAAATCCCGGAGGGACACGAATATATAGCGCATGTACGTACGATGGGAAGTAACCGCGTGAGTCCCTTTAAATATTTAAACGGGCGCTCGGGAAGATTAAAGATAGAGCGCGGAATCTCGGACCGCGGACAGAATAGATATGCGATAAAAACGCGGCGTAGCGACAATGGGACGCGGTCGATGAATTAAACATCGCAGAGCGCATTGGCGGAAAAGACGAGGGGCCGCGACGTCGGTTGACAGAAATATCATCGACGATCTGAGAATCGCGCGCGTATCTGCCACACGATCGTTCTTTTTAAAAAGATCTCTCCAGAGGACAAAGCGCACGGTTTTTGACAAACCAGCACGGAAAAAAAGATTTGCTATATATGGACAACTAAATTTATTAGCCACTTTTTCTTTGCTGCAGGAGCCAATTTTCTTGCTAGGATAACAAAAAAATCTGCTCCTGCAACAAAAAAAGTAGCTAAAGCAGTAAATTATGTTTAGTTGTCCATCTGTAGCAAATTTGCTATGTTAGCCATTTTTCTTACTGTAGGAAAAATTTTCTTGTTCTCATAGCAAGGAAATAGGTTCCTGCAACAAAAAAAAAGTAGCTAATAACGAATTGCCATTAACTGCCCACATATAGCAAATTAGTTTGCTGCTGCAGCAAATCCTTTTTTTCCGTGAGCCGAACTCCTCGTCTCTCAAATTCCGAAAAACGTGTTTTTCACGTTCGTCCTAACTCGTGTAATTGTCGCAGAGAGATAGGTCGGGGCTATAAAGTGATGAACATCCACCGCGCGGTAGAAAAGTCACGACTTTGTTCCATCATTAATTCAATCGACCGCTCATGGTGGGAATTAACCTATCCTGGGACACGTTCGCGTGAAATGTATATTTCGTCGCGCTATCCGATGAGTTGCAAGGTGATATTCTATCTCTGATACGTCAGGGATGGCGTTCTTTCGTGCGTCCCCGTAGATTGCACCTCGCGGAACGAAGTTGTCGCGTTCGTCAAAAACGATACGACTGGCCGACCGTTCACGCGGAAATCGTCCCCTTAAAATCTCACAGTCGGGGATTTTGCAAAAAACTTGGGAAAACCGAGCGAGAGCGAGCAATCGCGCACCGAATACCATCACGTATCTCAAATATTTATTCACCTTTCTATTTGCCGGATCTATGTCGCGAAAAAAAGAAAAAAACTGTCTATGTCGCCATTTGCCATCGCTGACTGTTTCCTAAAGCCGTAAAAGCGAGTCGAAAATCGCACGAGGAAGAGCAAACACGCACGTTTAAAAATGCAACCCAAAATTTCACTCGACCGTCGTGACGCAGACGCACAGCCGCGACGACGACGACGACGACGACTCTCGAGTGAGTCTAGAAATAGTCATCGAGTTTTTGGGCTCGGGTGCGCAGAGCATGCATTTTGGACTTCCAGCTGAAAGGTATACCCGAGAAGCCTATAACTCGATATGTCGCGCAAGAGTGTGTGCGGTCGATCCTTTTGGAAAACACTAGACGTCCGATAGGATGCAGCAGCTGCACTCTGCCACGCTCAAAGAGAGCCGAAGCCATTTCGAACTACGTGCCCGTGCCGTAAGAGAAGAGAGTATCTCCGCCTTACATTGCGACGTGCGCCACATGTATCCGTATATAAGTCGAAGAAAATGTGATTTAAGGGAAAACTTCGAAATCGGCGAAATTAACGATCAGCGCCTACGAGGCGCGCTGCGTATTATTAGCGCACGTTACATGAAACATGCAAATCTTTTCGCGGAAACGAACACTGCACGAACGCGAAGAACGTCGCCGTTCTCCATGTCTGCGTTGAAATCACCGGCGACATCGCATCGCGAATACGGGATTAACGCAAAAGACGTACTTTCACCCTGCGTAATGCGGATTTCTCGAAAAGTATATATATATATACGGTGAGAACGACGGGAAAATTTCTAACTTCGTGCTTTAATATATCCGGGAAGAGCAAAAGACGAGACATGAATATACCGCAACATCTTATTATATATCTCAAACTACAGCGGCCATGATGAAAAAAAAAACTAATAAAATTCGCGCGCTTTTCTTTCATTCTACTCGATGACCGAGCTTGAAAGATCGCGAACTCCGCGGATAATGGTCTGACGGAAGCGTCACGAGTTGTTCAATAATTCAAACAATTTGAACGTTCTTCCGACGGAAATAAATCATTATAAAGTGCTCGTAGAGCGCGCGGGATTGCGCGCGATAACCCTGAGATTATTCAAGCCGCCGAGTGCGATAAAAATTCCTCGGAAGAATCCCGACGGTGCTGGCGGCGGCCAGACAGACATCTTCGCCACATTCACATACAGTCGTCGTCGTCGTCGTCATCGTCAAAGTTGCTACTGCTGCTGCTTTGCTTCTCCCGTGAGGTTTGCGTCCCCGGTCCCACGTGTGCGCGCGCGCCTTTGTGTGTCCATGGCGTGCGTGGTGTTGACCCCATAAACAGGCTCGACGCTAAAAATATCCAGGCCGGGCGAACCAGTTCGTCCAAGAAAGAAAAACGCCGGCGAGAAGAGAGAGAGGGAGAAAGAGAGAGAGAGAAAAGAACGGGAGAAACCCGAATGCAAACGCCGGGGCGACGCGAAGTCGCGAACAAGGAGGGAGAGAAGGAGGAAGGGGGAGAGAGAGAAGGAGGAAGGGGGAGAGAGAGAAGGAGAGAGGGAAAGAACAGGAGAGAGAGGACGTGGAAAGTTCAATGTCGTGTGACACTTACCTCTGCCGCGGCTAATCAGGCTGTACGAATCGATCGGCGGTACGCGTTTAGAGGGAAGACCGGCCGGCGTGGTTCACGATAATACCGGCTCGTAGAAAGTCGCTTGATTGACGGCCGGAGACCGCGATAGCACCTAACGGGGTTGCCCTGTAGCAATATTTCATACCGTATTAGCGGCACCCACTGCAGTTTCTTCATCATTGCCGAGCGGCATTGTCGGCGTTTATGACAGCAACAAGTTGACGTGACGTGGCCAATTATCCGGAATATGTGAAATTACGTCAATTTGCTACTACTCTAATGGTAGCTGTGTGCCAACAGTGAAATTTTACGTGTGATACTTCGAAAGACTACTCACTACTAATTAGCATGATATATTGAGTGCCTCTGACCTAGCTGGCAAGTCTGTTGATCCTTTCATTCAAAAAATATAATCATCTTATTCTTAGCGGAATCCTCTCATGTTAGCCTCAAGAGAATTCTTCTAAACTCAAGAGGAGACTATTCCAGCATCAAAAGATAGAAACTTTAGTTGCAAGTTTCTGCTGTTTTCTGCAGTCTCATATTCTAAGCGCAAACTTTTAACGAAAGAATGTTTCTCTTTTAATGAAGAGGAATAATATTGCGCTTAGAATATTTTTCTTTTAAAAAAGATCCTCTTGAAGCTAAAGATAAGATAATTTCGCTAAGGATGATATTATATTTTTTGGATGTTTAACCAAAATTCTCATTTCTACGACAAGGAAGATAAATAAACATTTTTAATTAATGCAATTTATTTTATAATTAAAAGTTCTCTAAAATAAGGTCTATGTGAGACTACAAAGAATGAAGTTTCACCTGCTTGCACCCTTTGATATTGAGTCCGCGAAAAGTGCTTCATTTACACACGAGTTCTTGTATCTGGAAAACTACCGATCTCTCGACACTTTAATTATGAAAAATGTCGAGTAGTTGAGAAATTCGTAGATAGCAGATGACTTAAGTGAGCCTCTGAAGTACTGTGTATACAAAGCACACGTTGTCGAGGATTCAATCGGTATTTACAAACTAAACACAGAAGCATATTTACTGATGGCGCGACCTAAGCAGCTTCCTCTGTAAAACTCGAGTCACGGTGATCGTTACACGTTACACAGTGCTGCTCACGTTGCTGCGAAGAGGTTGCACATCGGCGGGACAGTCGCGTGTATAGAAAGTTGCCAGGTCTCGAGCGTGTCGATTTTTCAAGGTACGTCGTCAATTATCCGGTGCGCGCGGTCGACTCGGACGGCTCGGATTACGGCGGTAAAAAGGAGCGGTGAAAGCAAAAGGTGTCGACGCTAATAACGCGATTTCGCGTGCCGCCGTGTGAACTCGATCGGTCCGACGATATCGGCGCGCCGATCGTGACGTACCGGCCATCACCTCCAGGTGGAATCGCCGAAAGACGAGACGAAACGTCGAAAGTTATTAGCGCGCTCGCTGTCAGACGTACGTCGTCGGTGTCTGATTATAAGCGAGTACTTAAGTGGCACGTCCGAGACTGTTAGCTGCGGACCAGGACGTGACGCCGAGCACACGAAAGTGGCGCGCGACGATATGCACGACGGATACGTGGTGTAGTGACACGTGTGTGACTTGGCGCGGTGAGAAAGGCGAGGCATGACGCGGAACAGGCAGCAGATTTTCCCGCTGCGACCCTTCGCCACCCTGGGACGCCGGATTCTGCGGGATAAACGATACAGAAGGTACGTCGAGCGACAACACGTAGCGCCGAGTAACGTTTAACGTATGTACATTCCCGAACACCGGCTGAGGAACGTGGCTGAAAGAAACGCAACGAGTTTCCGTCCGACTTCTCTTACGCAAATTTTGTATCGCGCGCGACGTTTCGTTAGTGCCTCTTGACACGTTACTGCTAACTAGGACAGTATATCAGGTAAAAGGAGCAACAAATATTCCGAAAAAAGGGCGATACAGACGGTGTAATAATTATCGTTACAATATTATTGCGCGGATGACAACTTTCACGCGAAGCGAAACGAGACCAGACGCGACGTCGCCTCTGGTCGCTCATCCCGGCACGTAAACGCGCGCCAAGACATAGGATAATAATTAGACTTTCTTCCTTCCATTAAGCGATTACGCGGCGTTTCAATTAAACTACCGCGTGCTAAAGCGCGCCACGAAAGTATCACGTTTTAGCGCGTCGATTTACCGCGAAATTACCCCCCTCGCGAAAAGCACGACGCGCAATTAGACACGGCACAATCACCGCGGCGCACAATATCTAATAATAATAATAATAATAAATAAGCGCTCTCTCCTGCCTTTCTTCCCTGCTTCCCTCTCCTCTCTTTCTCTGCCGAGATTCCTTATCTAAACGACGTTTGATAAAATCACAGGGAACAAGTCTTGCGATAATCACTGCGTGACTACGTACTCTTCACGAGTGTTTTTCGGAACAAAGCGCTTTTATTTGAAGATATATAATATGACGAGAGAGAAACGAAATTGCAACCTTATTCCGACGCACGGATGTCCCGATATTATTGATATAACCGGGGAGAATTGGCCTCTAATGGTAGCCCCGCGCGTGGAGAACCGTTTAACCCGGATTCCCTGTTGCCGGTGGGATCGCGCGAAGAAAGCCACCACGCCGTAAGCCGGGCCCACCGACGAGGTAATACTAAAGACCGTTAGCCTTAGGGGACTTGGTGTAACAGAAAATTGCGCCATTTAATAACCTCCTGTCGGTAAAGTAGTAGATAAATTGATGTAAAATCAGCATAAATGTCAGCAGAGAGGTGTGCATCTAATAGACTCGATTCTAAGTCTGCATATATTACGATAAAACATCGAGATTGTTGCGAATTAATAATTCATTATACACTCACAGGAAAATATACCACCAATTAAATGTTATCTGCTTCAAGTATTTCGTTAGTTTATGTACCCGTAAATCTGTCATATGAGTTTGTTTCATAAATATCAAATTTATTCAAAACACATGCCGAATTCCAGCAAGTTTAGCATTTCAATAAAAATCAAATGAAAGCAAAAATTCGACTTGCTTTACGTAGATTCGAGCAAAATTTTTCTTCAATGAAACTTCATAATATTCTTGTATAAAGAATAAATTGTAAAGACTGTAATAAATAAATTATGAAAGCCGTAAAGAGAGAATAAATTCCTCTCTTGAGTACAGACAATGTGTGTGTGTGTGTGTGTGTGTGTGTGTGTGTGTGTGTGTGTGTGTGTGTGTGTGTGTATGTAAGCTTCTTTAAAATTTGTAATGATTATATTTTAAGGCTATTATCAAGGCAATATTTTTTGTTGGAGATAACCGTTACTTAGGAGGAGTAAAGTAAACTGAGTAATCGCTTTTCTTAATAATGGAATGATATTCTTCTGTGCGCAGGTGTTTATATCGAATAACTAAAAGTGGCTGATAATGTTATCCTTCCTCAATTACCTACCTTCTTGGGCTCCTCCCTTCTTGGGCCGCTTTGCCTTCACGAAAATTTACCCAGGGCTGACGCGGTCTTTAGTATTATCTCGCCGATGCCGCAGGGGATCTCTTTCGCTCCGCAAAATTTCCGGCACGATTCGAATTGGTGGCGACGGTTCCGCGCGAATATACCGGACGCGGCCGGAAAGTTTAACCTGCGTCATCGACCGCGACGCGATCGAAACGCGATTGCGATGTCGATTCGTTGATCTCCTCGTCGCGTCGACGTGACCGATAAGAAGCGTCGATTTAGCTTACCACGCGCACCCTAATTCCTTCCGTTACGCTGAGGAGCGCCGGCGTTCCGGCAGCAGGATTACGACGGTAATGGACGCGCGCGTTACCGTGCAAACTTCTCTCAGTAATACATGCGGTATTACCGTGGCGATCTAACCCGATCGAAGAGCCGTCGATGTGAAAGTAGGGAGCTGCGTATACGAATTTAGTGGCGTTTTGGCGATGTTATTCGCACACTTACGCCATTTATGTACGTGTATAATAAATAAGTATGTACCGTGCGTAACGAAGGATTTTCGAGTAAAGAGTAGCGTGATGCACGAAAAGATCAGTGTACTAATTCGGTTTATAGTTACTAGCGGTACAAAGCGGCTAGGCTCATATTTTTCTCGTTACGCCGTATTTTTCTCGTTTAAGCTTTATGGAAATCCGCGATGTAAAATCCACGCAGTAGCCGTTACATTAGCTTTTTACGATTCTGTAAAGAGAAAAATCTAAAATTCCACCTCGTGTCTCTCTCTCTCTCTCTCTCTCTCTCTCTCTCTCTCTCTCTCTCTCTGGCTAATTGTGAATCACGAAGAGCGACGTATGTTATTTGATTTCATAACTAGTCGTAACGGCATTTTACTTTGCATCTCGACAAACTCGCGTCGTACCCGGACGCGCTTCGTCCGGAAGAGCACTCCAAAGCGTAACACACGTCGGGGTCAGCGGAGGCAAATAAAACGCGTATAAATATGCGCGCGTAAGTTCGAGGACATCGCAGAGAATAGGCGAGGAAGTGCGCGCGGGAAAGGGGTATCGAATGGATTAACAGGCGTTATCCGGCTGGAACGGCGATGTAATTGTGACGGGTTGCCGAGCTGCTCCATCGGCGCACGCAAATAGACAGCAAATAGAGAGAAGCAAAGAGAGATGAAGATATACAGTGTGCAAATTACAGTGCGCGCATCGCCGACTGATGCTGCACCCACTATCGAGAGAGTTTCACGCTCGTTTTGCTCGATCCAGCCGCCGCAATATGCTCGCTGCACGCGCGTCTCCGCTCCGGGAATCGCCGGCAAACGCTCAGCACCGGGAGAGAAAGAGAGAGAGAGAGAGAGACACGAATGACCTTCGGCTTCATTACCCGCTAATTGCTTCCGTAACTTCCGCGCGAAGCGCGCGCACTAATTATCGACGTTCCCACGACTAATCGGACTAATTTTTTCCCCGTTACCCTCGCGGGTACCCTGGTCGTCGTCATGTCATCCGTGCAAAATCGCGACACTTGCTGCGTTAATTCGTTGTGTTTCACAAAATCAGACAAAATTGTGTAATCATGTATAATCGTAATGTGTAATCATTAGTCTGTATCGTATTTATACGCAGTCAACGATAAATCGAAATGAATTACACGGTTGAATTAATCTTCCGTTTCGTTCTCGCTCCGCTTAAAAAGAGAAAATCGGAGAGCTTCGTTAACTTTTATTCGTTAACGAACATGAAGAAACGGTCCGTAACTATAAGACTCGATTATATTTGGTTTTGGAAATTCCTCTCAATGCGTTGTTAAATAAATACGGAGAAAATGGGACGCTCAGTGTACAAAAACGTTGTTTCACTCTCAGAGGAAAGTCCTCTTTCTCTCCACGGAAATTACATTTACGACTTCTCGTCTTTCGTACAGCCACGAAACAGTACGGCCGATAACGATGATACTCTCACGGCGGGTCGAATGTCGAAGGCGAGCTTAGTCTTCGGATGGACTGTTTCTTTTTTCAAGCGGGATAGTTGACCCAGGTCAGAGAGAGGAAGAATTCCCTCCGACCTGCACGAGGGGCAGAGAAGACGTGAGGGAAGCCTCAGTCCTTAATCTGGCTTTAGGTCATGGCCGTGATTTTACGAGTCCCGGTTCGATGTTCCGAACGAATAAACTCCGACCTATACTCCTTTTTACGATCGCTGCTGACATCATAGTGAGAAGAAGCATCGATATTGGATAAGTTCCGCTCATGCTTGTACATGAAAATGGCATCGCGACGTTTTATTTTGAAAATATTTCTTTGCTCTTTTTTTTGCACGTAAATCTAATTTTAAAAATTTTCGTGATTAAGAGTATAGAATAACAAATAAATAACGTAGCAAACAGAGTACTCTGATTGAGGGAATAACGGCTAAATTGAAACTTCAAGTTTAATTCTTTTTTTTTTTTAATAACGACACGTGCATATACATCGTGTATTTTTGACCAAAAAATTTTATGCAAAATTCTGTAATACGGATATCAACGACCAACTAAAACTCAAGGAACGTAATGCGAGATTCTGATACGGATATTATAGCGCGATCTCCCTCATTAAGTCCTTTCTAAAGCCATTCTCTCAGGGCATCGTTCCCACGATGTGACAAAGCTTTTAATGCCGCAAGTAGGAGATCTAAAGTAATTTATGTTCAGTTACGAGTAATCAGTAATCTTGAAGCGCAGAATTGTGCTCGATGTTATTTCGGCACAAGAATTCGACACACCGGCAAGAAAATGTCTTTGAGGAATACTTTGACTTTTTCTCAAACTGAAACTCTCCTTAAAGTTTACGTGGACATGGTGGTTAAAGAGAACAATAGTCATGCCAAAACAATCCGGAAACTTAAAGTTTCGGAAGCTCCTCAGAAAATTCTAAAACTTTAGCATATTATTTGTCTTCTTCAGAAACTTCCGTTTCTGTT